CTATTTGATGACTTAGCCACTAATCAAGGGGGACAAAAGATCGAAATGTGCCAGCCTGCCTCTGAAAAAGATGAAGTTGTCACCAGCTTCACTTCGATCCAAGAAGAGCCACCGGATAGCATGATGAACTCATATACCATGGCTTCTAGGGAAAAAGAAATTAAGGAGAGTTCTGATCAGCTAAGTCCGTTTCTCCAATTTTGTTCTAATCATTCTAATTCTGTGATGCTGAATTTGCTATGTCCAGGAGAATTTGAAGAAAATTTAGACTCGTAAAAAACAACTATAAATCATATTGCTTGTCTTAAACCGCACATCACTGAATTTATCCAAATTGAGTTTTGTTCTTCTGGTTTTAATAGTGCCATGACTGTTATAACTTGCTTGTCTCTTGAAAAAAGTGTCCAGAACATTGAGAAACAAAAAAGAAGCAACAAGAGCATGAACAACCAAAGATCAATGGCGACATCAAGTGTAAAAAAGAAGTTTTCACAAAGACGACTACCATGCTGCCCAAGGAAATCAGCAAAAAACTTTGGAGAGGAGTCATTGCCTCTTTGATGATCAAAGAAGAGCCACCCGATGCTCAAATCCAATCTCACATGAACCGCAATGGAGATCTTGCCCAAGGTAAATTTCTAGACTCACATCTATACCGAGATACTAACTTGCTCTATCTTGGTGCAGGTCAAGAAGTTTTGAGGATGAAACTTTTCCAAGGGAGAGGGTATGATGAGGTCATAGTACCAGTAGGTGAAACGGAGCTCCATCAAACGTGCACAAACCGCATAGGACACTACAAGGACACATATGCCTTTCTTGGAGCATCTAAAATCAACCACGAATATTCAGAGCATGAAACCACTTGGGAAACATTCTCAGATCACCTACAGATCGCCAACACTTCGAATCAACCCAATCGGAGTTATGACGAAGGAGATATTCAGTTTGCAAGTTGAGTGTTTCTGGACTTGCCCGATTTGGACATACGCGCATTCATTGGAGGATTACGACTAAACCAGAGGGAATTTAGCAACAAACCGAATTGGTTTAGACTCATGACTCAACAGAGGAATGCATAGAATTTTATTCGCATCAATACCGGTTCAGATGTGAAAGTTATTAAGTTTCTAAACCAGATGATCCTACACTTGCCTTATCTAGAACCTTCTAGGTTTGGGAGACTTCAAACGTATCTCTGGTGTACAGGAGTGTTTATAATAAATCTAGAGTATCCTATAGACCTTCTCACGTGCACCATCAAGCATAGGATCAGGCTGATCTTCCCACACCTTAACTTTCCATATCCGAAGCCGAGCTTGCCTTATTTGGAGTCTCACAAGTTTGGTCAAGATCAAACGTATTGGTGGCGACCAGGAGATCTTTATGATGATCTAAAAGCTTCCCCAAAGGCCCTACAATGATCTAGGCTCTAGCACTCAGGGGATTAGGCGAATCCTCTTGCCTCAGCTTACCTTATTTTGACGCATTCACACTAGGAGCAATAAAGGAGTTCGCACAATAGCTCCTTCCTTTTGAGTTTGTCCATGAAATTGAGACCCTCCAAAGCATCCAAAGACTCCCAAAGGCGCACCTATACCTGCCCAAGTTGTCTAGATACAAGGAGCCTTCAAACTTTCCTTTTTGGCCCGATTTTGTCATCAAAGCTCCAGCGGTCATATTCTTTAAATTTCGCGATTCTTTTCTTGTATTAGCTCCATCAGACCGTTTCTTATGAGCCTGTAAAAGCTCATCTCTTAGTCTATTGTAAATCACCAATTATCTTCGATTAAATAAACAAAACATTTTCTCTACAAAGTGTTTCTTTGTGTTCTTGATCATTTGAGCCTTAGGTGGATTCCTAGTCTCTTTGATTGTGCGGATTTAGTTAGTTTGTGGAATCAAACTCTTTGATTTTTTTGTGTTTGATTGTGGAATCAATCAAACAACCCTCACCTCCATCTCTACCAACAATCATCTTCCGCATTCAAGTTTGGAATCTCTTGATCATCGTGTGATCATAAGTTGGTGGATTCCAATCTTATATCATCTGGTATCAGAGCTAAAAGCTCCTATCTCCAGGTTGTGTTCATCCAACTTCTATCTTTTTCAGTTTTCTTTTGCTTTTGTTTGATTCATAAAATCGAAAATCATAAAAATTGTTTTCTGCTTTTTGTTTAATTTGGTTTCTTAAACTAAAAAAGAAATTCACAAAATTCTCTTGCTGCGGTTTCTTGTTAGTTTGATTTCTTATAAAACAAAATCCCAAAATAATAA